ATCAAAGGCCAGAGTCAGGGTTTGAAACCCATCTGCAAACTTGCTTGGGTCTTCAGAATATCTTCTTAATTTTTCCTTATATTGTTGAATATCAGTGATAGAAAAAGGTACTTGCACCCTAATGGTGCCTTCCACCCCAGCCACCTCTCTGAGACACAGGACCGTGGAAGGGAGTGCGGGATATAGAGTCCCACTCTGAGTATGAGGAGGGCTAAATATAGCCTCCAGCTTCCATGTGGAGCCTTTGAAGAGAGAGAATTATATGGGGGTGGCTGAGCTTCCCTCTGAAGGACAGGTGGGGTATTAAGTAATGGGTCTTCAATGATATCTGGCTCTGGTTTATATTTGTCCTTGACATGAGGCTTCTGGTAGTCTGGGCATAAAAATGGATCTTGGTAGAGTGCCATGAAAGCCTGAACATACTGAACCTCTGACCATTTTTCCTCCTTTTTGCAGAATAAATCTCAGCGAAGGATGGTATTATAATTGAGACTTCCATTTACGGGCCATCGCTCCTGATCTCCTAGTTTATATTGTGGCCAAGTGACATTACAGTAAAACACACGGCATTTCTTTCTCATGTTGTCGGGATTGAATTTGTCCCAATGGTTAAGGATACAGCCGAGATGCGAGTCTCACAGGGCAAGTGCTGATGGCTTATTTCCCATGATAGTCTGTGAAAAAAAGAGAGAGTCTAAGAAGAGTTCCCATAGGAAGGACAAGCCCCCCACCCCACGAGGCATCCCTCTGGGTGGTAGCCAGGTCCGGGAGAGGGTCTCCCTGGGGCGTCCCCCTGCGAAGTCCCTGGCTTAGGAGGCCGGACATCTCCAGTCTTGGATGAGTAGAGCACTGGTGCTACTTTTCTGATGCTTGGACTCGAATTTAAATTCAGCTCTTGACTTGGGCTTAGGCTTGGGAAATTATGGCCTAGGATAACTCTGGGTACCCCTCAGCTTTCAGCACTCTGCCAGTTGATGAACAGTTGTTCTCCTACTGCACACTGGAAAGTTATAACCTTAACCAGAGCTTGTAGGGCAAGGGTAGTCAAGGCAGGTGCAGAATGCAGCCTTGGGCGTAACTTGCCTTTGACCCTAAAGGGAATCCTTTACTGGATTAAAGGATGCCTAAAATGGAGAGGAGAGGAAGTCTCTGAGGGCTACCCAGGTGGGCAGAAACAAATGTCGGAAAGGAATGGTCCAGGAAAGAGGGTCATTGGGAGTCCCTGTCCTGGGGAAACTACATTCAAGGTAGGAAGTGGAGCAGATGATACAGGGTGAATTACAGCAGAAAAGCAGTTTAAGGAAGACCTCAGCCTGGGGTCCCCAGAGGAAAGTAGACAGAGAAGTGAAGTCAGAGCAGCACAGAGACACAATAGGAACGGAACATCCAAGACAAAGAGGAAAAGATTCTCCCAGAAAGGGGCTTACCTCCTGGCTCACTCGCCACAGATGTTATTGGAGAGTGGGGTCCTCTCCCAGCATGTCATCCAGGTTCCTGATGTCTCAAAGAATTGAGCAAGACACTGGAGTACAGCAGGAAAGAAAAGATTTATTAGAAGGAAAAGTACACTTCCAGACATGGGAGCAGGCCTGAGCAAGAGAAGCATGGCTCAAAAGGCCTGGTAACAAAGTCTTTGGGGTTTTTAATCCCTACTTGCTGTGGGTGGTTACTTTTCTTAGAGGGGTGGGCTTCTTTGAGTGACAACTGAGATGGACAGGACTCAGTGATTCATAATTTGCTTTCTGAGCATGTTCGTTCCCAGAATTCAGTGTGTTAAAATGATATTAATGAACTTCCAGACATATGCATCATATTATAATGATGGTATGAGGCTCAAGTGAATTGGAGGTGTCGGGGTCTTCATTGCACAGGTGCGAGTGACTGGCTTAAACTGGTACCTAATTCTCTTCCTACTTGTTTCTTTCTAGGAGTAG